GGCAGGCATTATGGCACAGCAGATTAAGCCACCACCTGGTACTCCTGTATCCCATATCAGAGCGCAGATTCCTGGCTAGCTTCCTGCTAATATGCACCCTAGAGAGCCAGTACGTGACTTAGGTACTTGAGTCCTTAACAGCCACATGGAGTTTCCAGCTTTGGCCTCACCCACACCTGACATTTGGGGAGTAAACCAGAGGATGGAAGATATTTTTTTCCTCTACTTTTAAAATAAGCAAACAAACTTGGTGGGGGGGGGGGGGGGGTGTGGAGAACAGAGGAAATCCAGTAGCAGCATTTTCTAGGCCTCATCCCCATAAAGATGAGCAGCCAGTGGAAAAGGACTCTGGCTATAATATGTCCATGCTTACAATACTACACAGCACACCCGAAGTGCTAATTTTAATAATATCTGCTCAGTGAGGTGTCAATGGGGGCCGGCACTCTAGCACAGCAAGTTAAGCTGCCATCTGCAGTGCCATCACCCCATACGGGGGCAAGTCTGGCTGCTCGACTTCTGATCCAGCTCCCTATTAATGAGCCTGGGAAATCAGCAGAGGATGGTGCAAGTCCTTGGGCCCCTGAACTCATATGAGAGACCTGGAAGAAGCTCCTGGCTCCTGGTTTCAGCCTGGCCCAGTCCTGGTCATTATGGCCTTTTGGAGAGTAAACCAGCGGATAGAAGATAGCTCACTCGCTCTCTCGCTCTCTTTCTCTCTCCCTCTCTCTCCTCCTCCTCCGCTTTCTGTAATTCTGACTTATAAATAAATAAAATCTTAAAAAACAAAAAGGTGCCCAAATAAGTGTCTCTCTCTCTCTCCCCACCTCACTGATACTCTAAGAACAAGGGATGTAGTATCTGTATTCCTACCACCTACACAGTGCTTAAAACATACTATGCACTAAATAATATGTGTTTTTTAACTGGCACACAATGACAAGAATAGAAAAAAAAATGGTGTGGCTACAAATAACATTTTTAAACATGGTTTCTTTATTTTTTTTCTATTTATTTGAGAGACAAACAGACACAGGATGGTGTTGGAGAGGGGAGGACCTCCCATTTGCTGGTTCATTCCCCAAATGCCCAAAACAGCCCCTGGCTAGGGCTCAGAGGCCACATCTGGGAACTGAATCCAGGTCTCCCACGGGTGACCTGGCAAGAACCCAACTACTTGATCCATCATTACTGTCTCCCTTCCTCCAAAGTGCAAATTAGCAGGAAGCCGGATCAGGAGCCAGAGGCAGGTATGGAACCCAAGAATTCTGATACGGGATGCAGGCATCTTAATTGCTACTGCCTACAAATAACTTTTTTTTTTTTTCACAGGCAGAGTGGACAGTGAGAGAGAGAGACAGAGAGAAAGGTCTTCCTTTGCCGTTGGTTCACCCTCCAATGGCCGCTGCGGCCGGCGCACTGTGGCCAGAGCACCATGCTGATCCGATGGCAGGAGCCAGGTGCTTATCCTGGTCTCCCATGCGGGTGCGGGGCCCAAGGACTTGGGCCATCCTCCACTGCACTCCCAGGCCACAGCAGAGAGCTGGCCTGGAAGAGGGGCAACCGGGACAGAATCCGGCGCCTCGACCGGGACTAGAACCCGGTGTGCCGGCGCCGCAAGGCGGAGGATTTGCCTAGTGAGCTGCGGCGCTGGCTACAAATAACATTTTGAACACAGAGAAGCAGAACTTGCTGACCAGAATGCAGAACTGAAGTGAGAACTCTGGTACTACCATCAAGAAAAAAAGGCAAGTCTAGAAGAGGTGCTAAGTTTGGGGAAAGAAGTTACATTTAAGAAAATAGCATGTAGTACCTGTTACTTAGAAAACTACATACTAGATTATTTAAGAACTACAGATGAAACTTGCCCTGGAGAAATCATGGCTTAGTAGAGAATATTTTTTATATAACTACAGTGCAAAAAAATATGATAAATGCTACTATAAAAGGAATAGTGAAGTGTTGTAGACTTGAAGAAGAGATACAAATATTTCCAGAAGCACCAGGTTAGGGTTAAAACAATAAAGTGCTATACTAAGGAAAGAAAAAGGAAGAAGATGGCCAAAGGCATATTGTTAAATAAAACAAAGATATTGCAGAGGAAGAAGGCTAGAAATGGAAGTAGGAATATATGACAGAAAGAAAGGAAAAAAGTTTGGATGAGATCCAAGTTATCAAACGCCATAAAGCAGTGAACACCTGCCAAAAAAATCCTAACTGTTACCACCCCCAGTCTACTTTAGGTCCTGTCTACTCTCAAACCCTCTCGGATTCCTCCAAGCTCTAAGTAATCTCTCCTCCCCATATAATCCCACTGTACTAATAATAACACATCCACAGATAAGAAACAAGGATTACTAAACTCAGAACACTGCACAGCATCTTGGACATATGGAATATAATACACTCAATTGAGTATAATTATACTGAAATATTTTCTGGGCTAAATTTACAGACAATGACAGCTTATTTTTCTGTAGCACATCAGTAAAAACTACAGCAAGATTAGTTATGACCTTTGTTTAAGGAGTCAGAACTTGTCTGTCAATTTGCTAGGCACCAACTATGGATCAGACATTTCATACAAAAGCTGCTCAGAGGAAGAGCTCATAGAAGTTGAAGGGGTTAATGAATTCATTCCAAATGAGAAGTGCTAAAGCAGTGGTATGTGCAAAGTCCTTTATTTACATGCCTAGAAGAGGTAGAAAACACCTGGGGGGAGGGAGGCAAGGGCAAGCAACTTGGAGAAAAGGCTTCACAAGATCTTAGTTGAATAATTTTCTCCAGGCATTCTGAATAACAGTTATCTTCTGTTACATTGAAAAAAAATGTTATTCATGGAAAATGGGCCTTTTGAAAAGTATAAAATTATTAACAAAGCCCTTTCGCACTGCATACTCCAGCCATGTTGGACTCCAACAGGCCTGTCCAGACTCCTAATGGACCTACCAGCAACTCCCCATCACCTCTGTAGACTAGACTGGCTGATGCCCACAGTACACATGCTTCTGGCTCACAGAGAACTGTTTGGTTCAACTCTACACTTCAGCCCCTTAAATTGAGCTGTTATGTTTTGCATCCACAAGTCAGTTGCATTCCTTCTCCAAAACTGTCAATTTCTCTTGTAATAATCATTACATGTTTTTCAATTAAATAGTATGCAAACTAATTAAAAGAGATTTGTCATTTCTGTAAAAATTTTGTCAGATCCTTTGGCAAAACTCAACAAAGGTGATGAGTCACTTTCAAAATGTGGCTGTCAAATTAGATATGGGTTAGATAATACTAAAAGATGGGAGAAAACTATAAAAATCTACCCTTCTGCATTAAATGGTTTCATAACTTTCTAAAATATTGCTCTATTCCCAGGAAATCAAAACTGGACCTACTATACAGATAAGATGGATTATAAGTATGGTACATATAAAAATGATTAACACAAAGCTTCAAAAAGCTGAAAAAAGCCAGGGAACTACATCAAAATGCAGGTAAATAAAAAATGCCTTATGGCAAAATAGTTATGTAACACATGTATTCTTATTTAATTAGAGCTTTACCAATTTTTAAAATTAACTTTCCAATTACCAAGGCCAATCTATCAAAAAAGAGAGGCTTGCAAGAGAAACATCCTGCTGACACTTATTCTTTCAAGTCAGGCACAAAGGCCACCTCCTAAGAAAAGTCCTCAGGTGCTAACTGCCTCTTCAAAATTGCCTCCTGGGATACTTGACTGCTATTGGTCTTAGCCTCAAACTGTTTTTAAAACCCAAATTCATTATGGATTATGTAAATTCTGTTATTCTCTTCTTTTGATCTTGGACGCCCCAAAAGTAACAAAATGCTCTCAATAAATTACTGTAGGGACGGAGCTTATAAAAACAACAAGCATGGGAAATGGTAGGTTTTCCAAAAAGATTTGTGACAATTCAAGGCTAAGCCATTTAAGATAGCATTTCTACCTTTATGGAGAAGCAGGCAGGCAAAAAACTGAAATATCTGAAAACTGAAGATGAAAGAAACAATATATATGGACCAATTTTAAGAATATCCCAATTATCACAGACAACTACAAGTGTGGTTCTAAAAAGAAAAATGGTGTTTTTTTTGTTTGTTTGTTTTTTGTTTTGTTTTTTGTTTTTTGTTTTTGACAGGCAGAGCGGATAGTGAGAGAGACAGAGAGAGAAAGGTCTTCCTTTGCCGTTGGTTCACCCTCCAATGGCGGCCGGTGCACCACGCTGATCCGAAGGCAGGAGCCAGGTGCTTCTCCTGGTCTCCCATGGGGTGCAGGGCCCAAGGACTTGGGCCATCCTCCACTGCACTCCCAGGCCATAGCAGAGAGTTGGCCTGGAAGAGGGGCAACCGGGACAGAATCTGGCGCCCCGACTGGGACTAGAACCCGGTGTGCCGGCACTGCTAGGTGGAGGATTAGCCTAGTGAGCCGCGGCACCGGCAGAAAAATGGTGTTTTAAACACCATTTTAACACTAATGACACATCAGCTAATCACTCACTGCCACATTTTATTATGTATAAAGGAATCATTCATAAAACCATGACATACACATCAGTTTTTTCCTTAAAGTATCTTATGATCCAGTTTTCAAAATTGGGATTAATATATGAAAACTTCATGCACAGAGATTAGGACAATGTAAGCATGTTCAATAAATGAGTGCTGGCTTTATTAAGAGCTAAATATCTCAAGATCTTAAGTAATACATCAAGGCAACATGCAAAATGAGACTATTCAGATTCATGATTAGCAAATGAACTACACAAATCAAAATGGCTATAAATGTTCAAAGAAAGGGAGTGTTTCAGACTTGGAGAGGTTGTTTCACAAAGGAGACAGAATGTGATCTAGATGGATGGGCTTACATGAAATGGTGCGAGCAAAAAGAAGAGGGAGCATTCCAACAAAATTTGTTTAAAAACACTAAAGGATTATTGTAAATGATATTGATAACATTATAACATTTTCCAAAGTGCTTTCATATTTACCATTTCACTGACTGGCCATCACAATACCCCAGTGAACTCACAACCCTGAGAATCATATATTTGAGCTAAAAGACAGAAAAGGTATATCTTGTCAAAATCACATGTTCTAAAAAAGAAGAAACTTAAAACTTGAGTATGGTAAGATTCCATAGGTTTTTCAATGCAAAACTAAGAAATTTGGAGTTTAGTCTGCAAATTTTAGAAACTTATCACAAGGTACACTACAATTTTTTTTCAGTGGCATAACAATAAAAAACCCACTTGTACCAGAATATCAGCAAACACAATTCAAGGAAAAGGGAACATTCATCATTTACTCAACCATTCTACAAATATTTACTGAATGAGTATTCTGTGCTAGTCATTATACCAGATGCTAGAAACACAGCAGTGAACAAAACAGATTAGACTCTGCCCCTATGGACATTAAAATCCTAAAAGATGAAAAAAAATCCAATAGAACAAAATACTTCAAATTTTAAAATCTGGTGGCATAGAAGATTTTCAAATGTGATAAAATAATAACAGCTATAACATATAACACTGTGTACTAAGCACTGTTCTAAATGTTCTTATTTATATAATTATTTACTTAATACTCACAAGAATGGCTCTTACTACCAGAAAGCTCCTTTTATGAATGAGGAGTCTACCCATGAAATCAAATAACTTGCCCAAGTCACCATGCCAGTGAGAAATAAAACTGGAATTCAAACCCCAACAGAAAGGCTCCAAGAACTCCCATATTCAGCTCCTATGACACACTCGGACATCCTCAATGCATCAACTGCACCCCTTAGAACTGTGTATGCAGCACATACACAGCACAAGCATGATGTCAGGCATTCTTATGTTACCACACTGGATCTCAGCAGTGTTTCTAACGATATGAACACAGCTCCTGATAAATACCTTGTCCCTCGAAGATGCAAGGAAGAAGTGTCAAGGCTGGAATCAAAGGTTTTTCTCAGCCCTTCAAAGACAAAAATTAACAATCAGATTATTTTACAAGACAATACTTATTCATAAGTCTCACTGAATATATCAGGAGTAGAAAAATGAACTGGGATAACCAAAAATGTGAAGAACAAATATAAGGATAAAACTTGTAAAAAAAGAAGTAAATTTAGCAAGCTTAATACTAAACACTGTATTCAGTGTTTAAGAAAGGGATGTGCTAATGTGTTGACAATACTTATTCTCTACAATGAGTTCAAAAACATCTCACCTCCAATCCTATAAGCAGTCTTATCATTTTTGCTAAGAGCTCTTAATTCACTAAGATAAGCCAACAACAAAAAGCTAAATACAGTAAACTGAAATAGTTACCACTTATTCAACTAAAGGTTGTATATTTGCTAATTCATCCATCTAAAAAGCTTTTCCCTCAAATCTTGGAGCCTAATTACAATTACTAAGTTTTCTTACTTTGCTAAAGATTAAAATGAAAAATCTACTGGGGCTGGTGTTATGGCATAGCGGGTAAAGCTACCATTTGCAATGCCAGCATCTCATACAGATGTAGCTTCAAGTCCTGACTGTTCTACTTCTGATCCAGCTCCCTGCTAATGTGCCTGAGAAAGCAGCAGAGGATAGTCCAAGAACTTAGGTCCCTGGACCCACATGGGAGACCCAGAAGAAGCTCCTGGCTCCTGGTTTCCCTGGTTTCAGACTGGCACAGCTCCAGCCACTGCAGCCATTTGGGGAATGAACCAGCAAAGATTGATCAGTATCAATCTCTCTCTCTCTAAAACTCTGCCTTTCAAATAAATAAAAATTTTTTAAAAAATGAAATATGTATTAACAGCACAGTCATCATTAACAGTATAATAAACTGAATCATTAACCCCATCCCCAAACTTAAGAAGCCTCTTGTAGCTGTTACAGAAACCAGAAAGGTGGTTTTAAGAACAATCAGAACCAGAGCAAAAAGTTAAGTTGGCAAATATAATCAGTTTCAGTACACAAATCTTTCCTCAAAGCCTTTTTACATTATGACAAAAAGAGTGTAGGTATTTCTCTTGCAACTTCCTCCCTATCAACTACTGAATATCCTCCAATATTTTCTCTTCCAATATCCCCCCTACTAGCCATTTTAATGCTTATTTTTACCAGGTAAAATATAGAGTAAAACAGGAAGAAGTAGAGACAGAAAAGAAGAATGGGTTTAACAAGTCAGTAAATAAAAATTATTCATTCATTCAACAAATATTTATTCAGCACCTACTGAGACTGGAAATACAATGGTTTGCATTCTTCTATATCCCAATATATCCTATTTTTACCCCTGCCAGAAGCTGGGCAGATCACCCTTCAGGGCCCCCAGCTACAAAATGGAGCTAATAACTACTCTCATAGAGATGTATTGGATTAAATGTGGCAAACTAACCTTTAAAGTGTTCTGTGCTCAAATAAAATAACACAGTTCAAAGACTGAAAGGTTTTCAAAACAGTATGTTTAAAAAAAAGGCCTAGAAATGTAAAAAACAAAACAAAACAAAACCACACATACATAGTAAGCTAATGTTTATCCTTGGACAGGAAGGAAACAGCCTTAAACATCTTGGTATCCTTCAACATATTTGGCATGCTGCCCTTCATTTAACAAGGGTTCAGTAAATACATGTGATTTTTTTTCCCCCTCTCTCTAAGGTATGGAGTACTGTAGTTACTTTAATAATCTGGCAAAGCAAAAAAGAATGAACAAAAGGAACTAATATTTACTGCTATTAAGCACCAAGTACTGTATTGGACCTATGTGATTTAATTTAATTTTCATAGTTACCTTATAAGGTATGTATTATTAATCCAAAAAACCAGGAGTGGGTTTTCATTTTCCTAGAATCAGGTTATAAAAAAATCTAAGCTTAGAAAAATGAGTAACTCATCTTATATTTGGCAGATTTGCTTATTTCATGTTGGAAGAATTAAGGAAATCCCTCAAAAGGGTATTAAGGAAGAAAAAAAAACTAACTTATTAACATATAAAGAAAATGGAAAGAGAAAAATATAAAGGGTTAATAAATGAATCTTGTAAGTGTTCCATCGTACAAGTTCCATCCAACAAAAATAATAATTAAAAACCATCTGGTCACACTGACCAACACAATGAAAATTTTGTAGTGGGCAACTTTTTCTTCAAGTCAGTCAGCACTGTTTCTTTTATACCCTTTGCAGGTGTGGCACACTCCCACCCAAATCATCCACCATCACCTTAGAGGTTTTTCAAGGGGATAAAAGCCAGTGTTCCTAAAAAAAAAAAAAAATCAGTCATGTACACCAGAATTTACTTTAAAAGACACTCTCTGTCATGTCTACAATAGATAAAAGTGGAAACCACATGAAGTACAGAGCACTGAAGTTCTACTTTAAAGTAGCTAACCACACACCCACCCACCCACCCACACACACACACACACCTTACTTCCAATACTAAAACACAATGAAATAAGCAAAAGAAGATAAAAATCCTAGGAATCTAGGAAGTACTCCCAGGAAACAGAACAGTGAGAAATTCCAAGGAGCTGTGAAGCAAGTTAGGAGGAAATGACTATTAACAGAGTGCCTAGTTCAAGTCCTGACTATTCCACTTCTGATGCAGCTTTCTGCCGGTGCTCACCCTGAGAGGCCATAGTGATGGCTTGGGTGCTTGGGTTCCTGCCACCCACATCAGAGACCTGGACTGAGTTGAGGACTCCTAGCATCAGCCCGGCCCAGTCTTGGCTCTTGTAGGTGGTTGGGAAGTGAACTAGCAAACGGAGGATCAATTGGTTCTTATTCTTATTCTTTCTCTCTCCCTTTCTCTCTCTCTCTCATAAATGAAATAAATATGTCTGTAATATTTAAAGGAACAGCATCAAAGAAGAGAGAAATGAAGATAAGTAAAAATATCTACTAAAAACTCCCGATGGAGGGGGCCACAAGAGGTTAAGCTGCTGCCTGTGACACACGCATCCCATATGAGCCCGACTGGAGTCCCAGCTGCTCGGCTTCAGATCTGGCTCCCTGCTACCATGACCGGGAAAGCGATGAAGCATGGCCCAAGACCCACATGGGAGTCCTGGATAGAGTTCCAGGCTCTTGGTTTCAGTCTGACCCAGTTCAGACCATTGTGGCCATTTGTGGAGTGAACCAGCAAATGAAAGATCTCTTTCGAAGTTAAAAAAAAAAAAAAAAAAAAAAGAAGAAGAAGAAGAAGAAATAGATAACAAAAACCAACTTAACTGATGAACCCACAACTTCTAGTAGGCAAAAGATATATTTTTCAAAAGGGGCATTTTTCCAGAAGAATTCCTGAAAGCTGATACAACTGGAGGTAGCAGACAAGAAACGGCCAGTAGAAAGCTTCATAGTTGAAAAGCTGTGAAACACTTTTGCTGGTGCCCTTCCATGCCTTCTTTCAGCAAGACTAATGCCAGCATTTCCCAGGCCTGGCTCTTTAAAATGACAATTCAGACAAGGAATGCTCCTCAGTAATGCTGAGGCCAGAGAAGTGGGGCAAAGTGCAATTCACCGCAGCTCCCAGGAGGGTGGGGAGTCTCGCCACTCGGAAGGCAAGTGACCCACACTCTACAAAAAGATTCTGCATTCCAGGCAAAGAGATAGCATAAGCAAAGACATCGTGTTTGCCACAGAATTTTAGAGGGAGGTACACATCTCGGAGCACAGTGTTTGAGGCAGATAGAGAAAGGATGTGAGGCTGGAGAAGTAGGAAAGCAGAAAACAAATCAAGGAGAGCCTGCTGAACACTACACAGGAGTTCAGTCTCTCTCCTGACTTCCTTTTGTTACCAAGAGCACCAATGCAGACTTTCCAGCAGGTCGGTGGTGTGACCAAGAACATATTTTATATCCTACTGGCAACTGCAGATAATGTATCGGAGCTGGACAAGACCCAACAACCTATCTTGGGAGGATGAGTGGATGTTGGAACCATGAATAACCTTTTTTAAACAGAAAAGAGGAGTAAGTTTGAGGAAAGAATGATGTCCTTCGTATGACACTTGCTGAGTGTAAAGTACCTGTGGAATATCCAAGTACAGATTTCCAGCAGGTTACTGAGTTTAAAACTTACAGGGGAAAGTCCAGGAAGAATTCAGAAATTTAGAAAAACATCTGCATATAAGTGGAACTGAAACTCTGTGTAACAGATATTTTATGAAGACAATGACCTATGATAACCCTCAGCCAACAAGTCAGTCCCAGGTAACAGCAATGTGTAGCAAGCAGATCGATAAGAGCCCACAAGGGAGACAGGGAAAAACAGAAGAGAAAGACACGGAGAACAAGGATGACAAGGGAATATACTGTTTCAAGGAGATAGTGATTAACAGTGTCAGGTGCAACAAAAATGTCAAGTAAAATTAGGAGGAAATGGATCCACTAAATGTGGCAATATAAGGGGTTGCATGCAAAAGCAGCATAGTCTGCAAACGCCATTTAAGGAGTGATGGGGATGGAAGCCAGAGAGCAATAGCTGAGGTTTAAAAAGTGAAGGAGAAATGGATAGACCACTCTTTCCGAAGTTCAGGTGAGAAGGGGAGAAAAAGGTTAGAAGTGGATTTGTGGTTCAGGAAAGGTTTTCTAAGACGAAGGAAAAAAAAAAAAAACAGAATCAAGAGAAAAAGAACTTGAAAGTGAGACTTCGAGGCTGCAGCAAGGTTACTCAACCCCGGTACTACTGACGTCATGGACTAGATAATTCTTTGTTGTGGGAAACTGTCCTGGGCATGTCTGCCAGCATCTCTGGCCTCCACCCACCAGATGACAACAGCACACACATGACCACCACCACCCCAATCCTGTCCCCACCCCCGCAGTGAGAAAAACAAAATGTCCCCAGGAGGCAGAATCCCCCTTTCCACCCTCCCATTTGAGAATACCTGGGAACAAGCAGAGGAAAAAGGGGGGAAATAACATGACGGGAAAAGACTGCCAAAGCAGCAGCAGGGAAGCTGAGAGCCCCTGGCGAGGGACTGGCTCCAAAGCAGAACAAGCATCTCGCCCTCTGAGACAGGAGGAAAGTGCAGCTCTGGGGAGGGAGGGCTGATAAAGTTGTAGATGGGGCCAAAAGATGAAGAAAACCAGTTCTCAGTGGAGTGGAGGCCAGGTCACGTGCTGAGTTGCACTGGTGGTAATTTAGTGGCAGTTTTGAACACAGTGGTTAGGTTTTGTGACAACTAACAGGGCCTGGCAGCCGGCAGGTCCCACAAGACAAGACAAACTGCTGTGGCTTGACTGTCCCAGCTGGAACCAGGTTGAAATGTTGACTGCCATTGTAAAGCATCCAGAGGTAGGACCTCCAAGAGGTGATTAAGTCATAAGGGCTCAGCCCTCGTGAAAGGATCAATGCTACTGTCACAGGAGTGGGTTCCTGATAAAAAGGATGACTTGGGCCCAACTTCCTCTCTGTCTCCCTCATGCTCACTTGTCCTTCAGCCACGGGATAATGGAGCACGAAGGCCCTCGACAGATGCTGCCACCAAGTTCTTGGACTTCCCCGCCTCCAGAACCATGAGCTGAATAAATTTCTGTTCTTTTACTTTATCCAGCCTATGAGACGGTGTTACAGCAGCAGAAAATGGACTAAGACATCAATTCAGGTTGGAAACTGCCACCCTCCCTTCTCATCAAGACTGTCTACATGCACCACCGGACAGAAATCGCCTCCATATACTGATTACAATCCCAAAGAGTTTCAAGTCTACTCGGATCTCAACTGCATTACAGAAGGAACAGATTTCTGAGGACTAACTGGGAAACGAATCCATTTTTAAAAATAATGTTCTTATCAGATAACACGAACTGTGTGCTACAAAATCAACATCTAAATGAGAATTTTCCAAATAATCTGTTCAAGCTAGAGGATGCTTGTGGTTATAACTAACTCAAGTTCTTAAACTTGTGAAACTACTTCCTGTCCATCAGACAGAAAGAAGACTAGAAGAGAAACAGATGGAGTGCAAAGACAGAAAGCATATTAGAGGGCCAGTGCTGTAGCGCAGCGGGTGAAAGCCCTGGCCTGAAGCGCCGGCATCCCATATGGGTGCCGGTTCTAGTCCTGGCTGCTCCTCTTCCGATCCAGCTCTCTGCTATGTCCTGGGATAGCAGTGGAAGATGGCCCAAGTCCTTGAGCCCCTGCACCCGCGTGGGAGACCCCGAGGAGGCTCTCAGCTCCTGGCTTTGGATCGGCACAACTCCGGCCGTTGTGGCCATCTTGGGAGTGAACCAGCGGATGGAAGACTTCTTTGTCTCTACCTCTCTCTGTAGCTCTGTCTTTCAAATAAATAAAATAAATCTTTTTAAAAAAATTGCTCACAGGTCAGAGACCTGCTCACTACTGCCTTCTAAATGAAGGGCTGCAAACTCAAATGATCATAGATAAGACCAGGAAACCAGGATTACTGCCTCAGTGTGCACATGGGAAGCTAAAGTGAAACATCAACAGAAAGCTGAGACCCAAGAGGCTGTCCTTGGGTGAAAAAGAAAAAAACAGAAGCTATACACACCAGCCCAGGGCTGTGTCTATAAAGAGTAATCAAAGCAGAAGGGGAAACCCAAGTCTTTGCTCTACACAGATATAGAATCCAAATGCACATTACTCCTGGGGTATCACAGACCCATCTGCGAGTAGAGTGGAAACTCCAGAAGCAGTGAACCCAAATAGTCCCATCAGAGACATATGCAAAATGACCCAAAGGAGGGGCCAGTGCTATGGCGTATTGGATGAAGCCACTGCCTGCATTGCTAGCATCCCATATGGGCGCTGGTCAGAGTCCCAGCTGCTCCACTTCCAATCCTCTCTGCTATGGCCTGGGACAGCAGTAGAAGATGGCCCAAGTCCTTGGGTCCCTGCACCCTCATGGGAGACCTGGAAGAAGCTCCTGGCTCCTGGCTTCGGATCAGCACAGCTCCAGCCATTACAGCCATTTGGTGAGTGAATAAGAGGATGGAAGACCTGTGTCTGTGTGTGTGTGTGTGTGTGTGTCTGCCCCTCTCTCTCTCTCTGCCTCTATAACTCCGTCTTTCAAATAAATGGATAAACCTTAAAAAAAAAAAAAAAAAGACCCAAAGGAGCATCCAGAACTCAGGCACAGGCAAACATTTTCCAAAGTGCCAAATACTATAAGCTACACAAAGGAACAAGCAAGAAACTTGGAGGGAGGAAAGATGAGTGGGAAATTTCATGCCTCAAGAACTACTGCTAACTGGCCAGTGCCAGTGTTGTGATGCAGCAGGTTAAGCCATCACTTGTAACCAGAATGCCAGCTCGAGTCCTGGCTCCTCCAATTCCAATCTAGATTCCTGCTAACTCTGTCTCTCAAATGCCCATGTCCTATACTGCAGTGCCATATTTGAGTCCTAGTTACTCTGCTTCTGATCTAGGTACTTGCTAATGCATACCCTGGGAGGCAGATGATGGCTCAAGTACTTGGGTCCCTGACACCCATGTGGGAGACCTGGATTGAATTCCCACCTCCTGGATTCAGCATGGCCCAGCCATTGCTGTTGCATACTTTTGAACTAGTGGATGGCATATCTCTCTCCATCTGTCTCTGTCTCTCTCTCTAATAAAATGAATACATATTTTCATTAAATTTTTTAAAGATTTTATTTATGGTCAGCGCCGCGGCTCACTTAGCTAATCCTCTGCCTGCGGAGCCGGCACCCCGGGTTCTAGTCCCGGTCGGGGCACCGGATTCTCTCCCGGTTGCTCCTCTTCCAGTCCAGCTCTCTGCTATGGCCCGGGAGTGCAGTGGAGGATGGCCCAAGTACTTGGGCCCCTGTACCCTTGTGGGAGACCTGGAAGAAGCTCCTGGCTCCGGATTGGCACAGCTCCAGCCATTGCAGCCAACTGGAGAGGGAACCAGCGGATGGAAGACATCTCTCTCTTTCTCTCTGCCTCTGCCTCTGCTTCTGCCTCTCTGTAACTCTGCCTTTCAAATAAATAAATAAATCTTTAAAAAACAATGACCCTCTCAGTACCACCAAGTTTACTATTGTCAGGCCCTTACTGAAAGAATTACTTCTTTATAAAGAAGGAAAGTGAACCAAGACTAGGGCAAATGAACAGTGGTCAAAAAAATTCTTTTTCTTGAAAATCATGTTGGTGAGTATTCACTATTTTATAAGCTTAAGGTAGCTTAAACAAGGCAAAATTAATGCATAAATAACATTAACATGGAAGAGGAATTGAGGGTTAAGAGGTAAACCATTCTGCTTATCTAGGATAAGAATAATAATTAAGCTTAGCAAATGTGCGTGTTAAAATTTAAGAGTGACCATATTTCTGACTTCAGCCTTAGAGTAAGAGCTAGAAAAAGCATAGCCGCCCCCCTTAGAATGAAAAAGAACTGGGCTAATTTCAAATTCATCACTTTCTTTCAAACCAACAGACAGCAAAGTTGACTCAAAAACGAAGGAGAGACAGTACCTGCTGGGACAGAGAAGACAGCCACGTGCTCACTTGGGGTAGACTGCAACTGGACATCAAGAGGAAGTATTCTGGTAGACTTGCTGATAAACTGGTGAAAAATGATGTGGCTTACTGAAGGGACAGCAGGGAAACCGCTGGGGAGACCCCCAACCTTTCATAAGATCTTCCTCCACCAACCCCTAACAAGGCACTCAGTGAGGAAGTGCCCTGAGCAGTGCCCACTGTGATGCACTGCGATGCACTGTGATGCAATGTGATGTGTGCCCAGGGCATGAGGCAGCAGCTCTGCCTGATGGCCAGATGAGATGCCCTGCCTAACAATTTTCCCCTGTCTTCATGTGGAAGACAAGCTTTCGAGCGTACAGAACAGACAATGATTATTGCTTGCTTGAAAACCCACAGCAGGGTCGGAACCTACTACTGGAAAACAGGTGGGATTCCATGCTGAACCCACCACAACATGGCTGAGGGGGAAAGAGTACACAGCCCTGGGACTCAGGCCTAAAACTCAGGCTAAATCAGAACAGGGATCACATCCCAATACCCCTCCAGGACAACACATTCCTAGAATAGCAACAGCAGATACTAGTGGGAGACAGGAGAAATTAACACAAAAAGAGATCCTCACTAAGGCACAGTGACACCTGAAATTCTGAATGGACCAGACATTGTCCTGGTAACCAGCTCAACATTTGCCCAACTCTTAAGTATATTAATTCAAATCCCCTCACTAAAGGGCTGGCAGAAGGAATGACTTGCCCATTTAAAGACATAAAATTAAGACTCTCAATCTCAATCAGACTTGCAACAAAAGTCAAAAGGTCTAAAAAAAGGTAAACAAAAAAAAAACTCAGAAAAGACAAAGACATTATCAGAACCAGAACCAGACACAGAATCAAACAGATGTTGGAAATATCTAGCTCTAAGCTCTAAGCTCTAAGCTCTAAACTCTAAGTTCTAAGCTCTAAGCCAAAAGGAGAACACACAAAATCAGATGAGTAATTTCAGCAGATACATGGAAATTCTAAGAAAGAATAAAATGAAAGTACTAAAAATGAAAAACAGTTAAGATAGAGACTGCTTTCAATGGGCATTCAGTAGACAATTCAGTCAAGCAAACAATCCATGAACTTGAAAATATGTCAACATAAATTACTGCAACCAAAACCCTCAGAGAGAACAGTGGGAGAAGGGTGGGAGAATGTAGCAAAAATCTATGGGACAATATCAAGGCTTCTAACATTGGTAACTGGCATCACAGAAAGGGAAGAGAATGGGGCAGAAAATATTTGAATAGTTAATGGCAGAAAATATTCCAAATTTAATGTAAGACATCTAACCACAAATCTCAGACAATCAGAGAAAGCAAGATAAATTTAACATTTATATTTATATATTAACATTTATATAATATATAATTTATATGTTTATAATAGTAACATTTATATACATTTATATTATATAATTTATGTATTTATAATATTAACATCTATATATTTATATTATTAAAATTTGTATAATATAATTTATATATTTATATTAACATTTATATATATTTAACATTTATATATAGAGAGAGCGAGCATACACACTACCAGCTATCAGCACATATAAATAACACTTGGGACTCAGTTTCATAAGCCCTACCATTGTCATTCCTTTAAAACCAAACACCTCTGTCAACACCAGGTCATCAATTCAACTACTCATGACTGTCCCCCCCCAGTGCTCACTTCTGTATACAAGCCTCACTCTGCATTACTTGCTGGCCAAACTGAGGGCACAAGCCTATATCCCACCTGCAAGAGAGACTGTGGATACAAGCTTTCTAGGAAAGTGGGTCCCATAAAATAAGAAATTATCAAAATGCAGAGTGGATGTTTAAAAACACCGGGCAACCCCAAATGGCAAAAGTCTACTACAGCATGCTAAAGAATCCTCCATTGAACTAACCAGCTATTGTACAGTAGATCCTTTATAAAATCATTATCCCCCCCAAAGAGCATTTTTTATAAGGCAAAAATTTTACCTCAATGTGGTGACTTGTTTAAAAATCAGTTCCCCAATCTAAGGGACATAAACAATAATCTAAGGATGTGGGAAGCCACATGATAAATAAGCAACATCTTTGCAGAATGCTGGTTTTGCCTAATGGTAAGTAATGTACAATGCAGATGCGCACGTGCGTGCACACACACACACATTATGGAACGGAAATCAGCATTTCAAATATTTTATACAATAAATCATAACAAAAACTCAGAGATGTCATTCCTTTATAGTTGTTAACTTCGCCCCCCTACCCCCATCTGCCATATTGTAAATGTTGCTGTAGAAGGAAGAAGGAAGGTACTGACATGAGGATATGGGCAGCAGCAAAGGTGCCCCCCTCGTAAGAGAAGTACCAATTATATTCTATGTTCCCGGCAATGTGTCACATATCAAGGCTACAGAAGTCAACACTCCATGCCCCCAAAGAGCTTTCAGTAGAAAACAAAAACCACCTACTTTTCTATCTTCCCTAAGGCCCACCCCTACATAAACTCTCAGTTTAGAATTCTCTTCATATACTTTCAGGTAAAAGTTTAAATAAACAGAATAAAGGCCACGAAGAAAGAAAACCAAGATTCTGGGACGTAGCTGGGGTACAAGCATCAAAGCAAGGCATCCGATAAGCAAATTCACGTCAATTCCTGTGATTCTCCCAGCTTTGTATGTCTGTTCTTAGAGCCATGCCTTTTAAACTCTTCACTCTACTTGACATTTTGGGCTTCCTTTAAAACCCATCACAAGCACTCAGAAATCACTGCCTTTCTCAAGCCCTAGGTATAGCTCTTTTGGCCTAAACAAAGTACCAGCATCCTGCATTTCTACCTGTACAGGCAGACCACCAAGTACTTCACTTATTGTTTTCTGCCTTTTCTGCTGATTTACAAACTCCATAAGGGCAGAATACAGTAGTGTGTCTCTGTATTCCTATCACTTACCATAATGTTGATACTCTTGGAGCTGCCAAAACAGTAATACTAACAAGATATCCAAAGCATTAAGTTTAGGGCTGGTGCTGTGGCACAGCAGGTTAAAACCATGGCCTGCAGAGCCACCAGCATCCATATGGCTGCCAGTTCAAGTCCCAGCTGCTCCACTTCTGATCCAGCTCCCTGTTAAAGCACCTGGGAAAGCAGTGGAAGATGGCCCAAGTCCTTGGGCCCCTGTACCCAAGTTCTTGGCTCCTAGCTTCAGCTTGGCTCAGCCCTGGTTGTTGTAGACATTTGGGGAATGAACCAGCGAATCCAAGATTTCCCTATCTGTTTCTCCTTCTCTCTAACTCTGCCTTTCAAATAAATAAATCTTTGAAAAAAAAAAAAAAAGAAAGAAAGACTAGTTTAGACTTCTTTTACCAACCCTGCACATAGGCCAACCCTGTAAACACGGACAGAATGAAAAACACAACTCCAAACCAAGGACAGGAGCTCTGGATAATATAGAAACCACTGGCATAAAAACATCAGTACCAAACTCTCAAATCTGAAATGCAGCAACTCCTTTCAAATAAATGCCCTGGGTTGGATATAAAATGGAAAAAAAAAAAAAAGTAATGTCAGAAAACGTTTACAAACTTTTCAAGTTACTAGTGCAAAAAAATAAAAAATTCAAGCAACAAGGGAAGAATACAGAGCAGGTATAGTTCAAAAAAGCCTAAGAAGTCATTGCAAGGTGAGCTGCATTAAAGGGCACTTAAAAAATACAGATTTGAAAGGAAATATTTGAAGAAAGAGGTGATGTTGTGGCTATTTTTTGTATAACCACACCAAAGGAAAAGTAAGCAACAGCATTCTACACAGGCACAAACTAATCACTTTACACCAAGGAAAACCTGAATGACTGCTCGATCATCACGCAAGCCAAAATTTAGCCTGGCTGAAGATTTCCAAATAAGAGCTGAGCATATAGGGATGCTGACTGTAAAAATAAGAAACAAATCAGGATTTACAAAATCACACTTTTACAGCACTTTCCTTTACATAAGTTCACTTGAACATAAAAACTTTGACAGAGACTAGTTTAATATAAAAGATGAAGGCCACAGAATGTGAACCAGATTTGAAAATTATACTCCTGGGGCGAGTGTTATGGTGTAGTAGGTAAAGCTGCTGCCTGTGACACCAGCATCTCATATGGGCAGCACTTCATGTCCCAGTTACTCCACTTCTGATTCAGCTCCCTGCTAATGGCCTGAGAAAAGCAGCAGCAGATGACCCAAGTGTTTGGGCCCCTGCACCCACGTGGGAGACCAGGAAGAAACTCCTGGCTCCTGGATTCAGCCTGGCCCAGCACTGGCCACTATGGCCATTTGGAGAGTGAACCAATGGATGGAAAATCTGTTTCTCCCTATCTCTAATTCTGAATTTCAAATAAATAAATAAATCTTTAAAAAAGAAAATGGCACTCTTGCTGAAGATTAATGCTCCTCAACAGTACTAGCAAAATCCTTTATAAATATTGTAGGTGCTCAAATGTGATTTCATGAAATACAAAATAGGGGGACCAGTGTTGTGGCACAGTGGGTTAAGCCACAGCCTACAACACCAGCATCCCATTTGGATACCGATTCAAGTCCCAGCTACTCCATTTCCAATCCAACACCTTGCTAATGTGCCTAGGAAGGCACTGGATGGAGGCCCAAGTACTTGGGCCCCTGCTACCCACATGTGAGACCTGGATGGAGTTCCCGGCTCCAGGCTTTGGCCTGGCCTAGCCCTGGCCATTGTGGCCATTTGGGGAGTGAAGCAGTAGACGGAAGATATATTTTTCTTTCTCTCTCTCTCTCACCTCCCTTCTAATTCTGTCTTGCAAATAAATAAATTTTTAAAAATAAAAAATGAAAATAAAATATTAAATATAAATATTGAAAAAGATTAAACTAGATTTAAGACACTGTATTTAAAAAAAAAAACAAATGAATAAAGCAAATTTAATGTTGATATTTAATTAAGCATTTTGCTAAAGCCTTAAATACCTCAAGCAGATTAAAGATGTCTGAGTGGAAAAAACCAGAAAAGGGTTTTAAGTTTAAATATGGAAGAGAGTCAAAACTGTTAGCAAAACCATTTTAATTATAAATAGAAAAGACATGCATATATAAGGTTAACAGAATTATGAAAGATAAAAGAAAAGGCGCGTTTAGAAAATTAAAAGGTAATTTATAGAAAACCAATGAAAAGAGTATCACAGATGACAATCAATCAAGGAAGCAGCCACAAAGATTTTCATGAGACAAAGGAAGAATATGTTACCTTGCAGAGACTGTGACCTTTCTGATAAGTTATCAGGTTTCTACTGTGCTAAACTCTGGGTTTTTTTAGCATTTCATGTCACACCACCGCTTAAACCTTCAATAGTTTCTCAAGACGCGGCCCCTGCCTATTTCTGTTTCATCACCTGCTTCTCTACTTTCCGGCCATCGTGAATTTCTTTCAGTTCTTTAAAAGGCACTATTTTTCCAAAGTCAATCTGCCTCTGTTTCTGACTGTCTGTCTGTCTCCTTGCCTCATGGCATTTGTACCTTCTGTCAGGAAAACATTTCTCCAATGACAACATGTCCTTCTCATCTTCCTGGTCTCACATAAATGCTACCTCCTCCAAGAATAAATCCGCCCCCCTTGTTATATACTTCCAGGGAGCTCTGTACTTGTCTGCTTCCATCTGGAGAATGCAAATCCTTTGAGGGCAGGGCCTACTTCCGTTTTATCATCAGCGAAGGCAGCCTCTGGCACAGGGCAGATACCCATTAAGTATTTGCTAAATTAATGAAGAACAACTTTAGGCCCCTTGTTTAGAGTCTGGCTGGCTCTGAACATTGCCAGTAGCTGCCGCTCAGCCGCCTCTGCCCTCCCTGTAGAAAGGCTTCTCCTCCTGCATCCAGCTTCCTTGACACTGGGCTGGAAATAGCCAGGGCTCAGTGTTGTTTGGGAGTTGCTTGGCCAAGGCCTTTCGAACAGTAGTGTCCCAGTAAAATGCTAGATATAATTTATGTAACAATGAACATTTTTTTTTTAAACAATGTAATACCCTTTCAGAAATTTCTAACTATGGGGCTGGCGCTGTGGCTTAGCGGGTTAAAGCCCTGGCCTGAAGCACCAGCATCCCACATGGGCGCCGATTTGAGTCCTGGCTGCTCCACTGCCGATCCAGCTCTCTGCTATGGCCTGGGAAAACAGTACAAGGTGGCCCAAGTCCTTGGGCCCCTACACTGACGTGGGCAACCCAAAAAAAGCTCCTGGCTCCTGGCTCCTGGCTTCGGATGGGCCAACTCCAGTTCTTGTGGCCATTTAGGGAATGAACCAGCGGAT